CAATCTAATTTACTGTGTACAAAACTCTGATAGCTAACAAAACTATATATTTCTAGAATATATACGCTGCACTGTTGTAACATTAAACAAATGCGTTACAGAATTATCTCCGCCTTCTATGTCTTATAGAAGACGGAGATAATTCTGTCGTTGTGTAACAATCCTTTATTTGTGAAGACACTCCCGGTACAGCTAAGGCTTTAATCTGTTTCGAGATATTTACAGGTTTGGCTACACGCCAGAGATGCGCTTGTTGTAAGCGCTTAATTTCGTACCTCACCTCAATGGTACAAAAGACTATGTATTGACCTTAAGTATACATGTGTTGGTTAAAATTTTAATGTAGGTATATTGAAAAAAAAAAACTTTGTAAGTAAACGTTTTAAAAAATTGTATCCGGTGCAAATAAAATGGAATTATTATGTGTATTTGCAGTTAATATAAATATTTGTCTCGCGAAGATCCAAAACAATTGCCACGTTTATTCGTGCAGGCGCGATATTCTTAATCAAAGATATTAACACAAATCACACAAAGGTCAAAACAATATCAAGTAAATATTTTATTTTCTTTTGTTTGGACTTTAGATCCTTTAGGTTCCTTAGAGATAATAGAGAAGTAGACTTGGCATTAAGATTTTGTAATATACAAGAATTAATTCAAAACAAGCTGTCAATGATAATGCATAGATGGACGCCGAAAAATGAAATAATTGGTTGGAACATCATTTTTGTTGATATGATTCTGTACTGAGACGACTAAGAGAAGATTGCGCCTGAAAGAATAATCGTAGCAATTTTCTTTTGTTTAACTGTGATTGAAGAGGTCATTAACATATATGTATATACAAGTAGATGTTTTATCATCTTTATCAGCCTATTGCCGTCCACTGCTGAACGAAGATTTTCCCCAAGGAGCGCCAACCATACAGGTCTTTGGCAGTCCGCATCCATCCGCTGCCGACCATTTTCGGTTCGTCGGTCCATCGTGCCGCAGGGCGCCCTACACTGCGTTTGCCGTATATTAGGCATGTCCGAGTAGATACTAATTATTTATTAATAATATATACTTACAAATATGTTTAAAGTTAGATGGTGACGATGCTGCTTGTGGTTTTTATTGTGCATGTGTAGTTTATATTACAAAATATATGTCTTGAGAAGAAACGCTAACACATCTTTTTTAAATCTTAGTGTCCATAATTTTTCTTTTTATAAAATGTGTTTGAACACTCTTACTACATATGTTATATCGTACGTAAAACTGTATATCTTAAACAAAAAATATAACCCTCTCATATTAACAGTCATTACTTACTATACCTCCATATTGGTAGTTGTCCTCACCTTACAAATATTATCAAAAGAATTTTTTTCTCTGTCGCTTTTTAGAATATCTTCTTTAGCTCAAAGAAAGTATTAATTGTACAAAGTATATAAACAATACCGCAACAGTTAAACAGCGTTACATCGTGAATGGACATTTCAAAAAACAATAGGCAATGATAATTAAATCTTAAAACTACACAACTAAATCTAAAAATAAACACTCGGTGAGTGCACTAATTCTGCAGCCGGATCTTAGACTACAACAGATACAGAGTTTATCATCGAACCTCTATCCTTCTTACAGCTTTACATTTAAGTAACATCATCATCATCATCATCAACAGCCTTTAACAGTCCACTGCTGGACATAAGTAACATATAACACACTATATGAGGAGACTATTATAGTATGTAGCATAGATTTAATTAATCATCATTGTGTAATAACGGACTAGTTTTTGCCAATGTTGTCTAATATGTAGATACTATATAACATTGCCAAAACTATTCTGATATTTAAATAATACCCTATCCAATTACAAACACGGGCTGCTGCAAAGCTCAGTTTCTTTCGATTCATTACAGAATTAATTACAATTGAAAGTAGACATTCTACATATATACGAAAGTTCGGTAAAGTGTGGTAGGATTAGTAAGTACTCTATAAAATAATACGTGAAGACAGGCAGATCGATGTGCTGTGATATTGGGCATTTTTCAAACTGTCTGGACAATATGAACATTGTCATATCAATCACTTAGATCATTATTCATTACATTTACAATATTATTATATTTCCTTATCGTTGAATCAATCTTTGCACCATTAAGCGCGTTCGAGCGTGCCTCACATCGGTAAGTGGGTACCGGCACTACTCGTTTATTTATTTTATTTTACATCTTCATGCACTTATGTACATCTGCGGACTTAATGCCCTGGGCATTCTCTACCAGCCAACATTTAGGTGGTGTAGAAATCTTGTAGGGTAGGTACAATTGTAATCACTGTTTTTTTTATCAATAAGCTTATAAAACTAAACAAAATTACACATATCATCTACTTACACATATATATATTATAATTAAAATATAATAATTACACATATATACATTTAAACACATATTCTTTTTGTTCGTACACTGTGAATACTTGAATTTAAGGAGGTGTACTATTGTTCAAGGTGCTTCCGCCATCTCGTCGAGAAGGTAATTATGTACATTCTTTTTAAATGCGAAATGGTTTGTGGACATCCTGATTTCGAATGGGAGCGCATTGAACTAACGCGCGCAGTAAACTTGCACAAAGAACGAAGAATCACGAAGTCAGAGCTGTGGGAGGGACACAAGAGAATCAAATTATTTGTTGATCGAAGATTTCTGTCGTGATTAGAGGACAGAAAACGGATGTAGGGATCAACGTCGGTGGGTGAAAATGGGGAGTTGAGGAATGAAAAGAGAGGTCAGCGATCGCTGGTTGTAGCGCAGGCAAATAGTCAATTATTGGAATAATTATTGACTGCATGAGGGAGGCTTTCGTTGTAGTAGGCAGATTTTTTTTAAGACGGTATAGATTGAGCACGCCAATCTATACCGTCTAGGTCTAGGCCTAGGTCCTATCGGGATCCAAGGTATAACTGAGCCGTTGAAGACGACTGGTGGGACTGATGTTCAGTGACAGTATCTAATCTGCTTATCATATGTTTGCTGCCTACTACAATCGCCTGATATTTGGTAGGGTTTACTGATAATCCGAATCTCATCGACCAGGATTTTATAAAATCAAGGTCGCTATTGATGTCGTCGATGGCTCGCGTTATATCCTCCACCCTTACTTGTGAGTATGGCTGCAAATCATTAGCATATAGGTGATACGCACACTGAAGGTGTTGAGTTATGAGGTTGATAAAGATAGAGAATAAATACAAAATAATACAAAAACTAAACGAAACTTTATACAACTTAAATCTAGATTACATATAAAGTTACTCCACTGACAATATTTTGATAGACGAATAAAACAATAAAAAAATCAAGGACAAAAATAGACATAAAACAAAATAAAATAAAGTGAAATCAAATGTTAACATTGGTTTGTATTTCCCACTACAGCGCGCTTCTAAGTTTATTGAGCGAGACATGGATGTGGATGGATTCATGACGATCTTTCAGTGAGCAGATGCCATTATATTCTTTACATATTCTTGTCAGAGGTGCGTTTAGACCTAGATTAGATTTTCGGGTGGAAATATGAAATTTTCTGGCATATCTTGGTGGTTTCGATGGGACAGAAAAAAAGGAACTTACGCCACAATTTGAAAGGATAATAATAAAGTAACCCATAACCTGTGAGCCGAGACTAGCACAAACAAATTACCTCCAATAAACTTGCAGTATTGTATCTCAATTGATAAATCAACGGTTAGAAGTGTCAGGTGCTCTGCGCAAGCGACGCTACATGTTGCCGCATTATTTATGTCAGGCGCAAGGCATTTGATGATCTATTATTTAGCCGGGATCATCCGTACACAGACACTGTTTATGAAGAACAAAAAAAGGCAACATACAACAATATATCACATATTGGTAGGTAGCGAAAGTAGCATACATATATTGATTTTTGTTTACGTTCAGAGGCTAACGGGTCAGTTGTCCCCGCTTGAAATGAGGTAATATTTATTTTAATGTAAAAATATTTAATACTTTTTACTGGGAACATCCAAGTGTGTTATACTTATATATAGCTTTAAAACGGGAACCGAAATTACAGATAACTTTAATAAATAATTTTCACCTCAAACAATGATAAGATTGTTTAAATTGATTTGATACTAACTTTTGCCTTCGGCTGCGCCCGCGTGATTGTCGGTTATCGCAGTAAAAAGTAGCCTTTTTATAGGTGAAAGAATTTTAAAAATCGGTTTAATGGTTTAGGCGTGACAGCGTAACAAAGACAACTCACTTTCACGTTTATAATGTAAGTGTGTAGACTTATGTATTTTGTAACATTAAATACAACAATTTATCTATTAATAGCTCTGAGAAAACCACTTAATATTCCTGCCGGCCATTTAATTGCAAGTAGTTATCCGTACCGATAAACATTTGCTTTTTAAACAAAACTTAGCGACCGCAATCAAAAGCGAAATGATGATTACGCTACTAGGTAGGTAATTCTGTTAAGTAACGGTACTGTACAAAGTATTAATTTTAAAACATACATTTGATACACTTACCTACTTTCACAAAAATAATTACAGGTAAAATGTTACTAAGATAATGTAGGTCTGTGATATTTAGTGTCGGCGTATTAACGGCTATACTTGTAGCTTCGGCGGCGGGTGATCATCATGAGACACCTCATGAGTCTTGACCTCCATTCGATAAACGTTCACGTCGACTGAGATGCCGCTAATGTAAAACCGGCACTAGACGTCGGAGTATAGAGAGCAGTCTTTTTAATACGCCACGGTCGGCGGCGAGCCGTTGTGTTGGTGAGCGTCTTACGCATACGCGGCTGACGGAAGAACAGTGTGTTTTCTATTTGTGTTGATTACTAAGTTAATGAGTCGCGCCGGCGAGCGATGTGCTGCGTCGAGCCTCTCGTTTACAGCCAATATCATACCAGTCACGCTTATACAAACACTAAAAAATAATTAAGTGCGTGTGTGTACGATGTGCGTAAAATCGAAGTCAGGGTCAGCGAGCCAGGCGAGGACCCGCATGCTGGCGTGCTTGCGTCAGACTCTGATGGTGGTGCTCAGTAAGCTCACTCTTGTTATTACCGTGTCATGTTTCAACTGTTTCAACTCACTTTCAATTGACATATGTATATAGTCAGTGAGATGAAATATAGCCCCTGTCTTATTTATTGGTATATTTTTCGATTAATTTGCAAATTTTTACAAATAGCCAGAATGATAAATAAGACACTTTTTTGACACTCATTTAAAATAATCGATGATTTATTCAAGAGTACCTATTAATGTAGTTTCGCTGAAGCAGGGACTGCACGATTAATCGCAGTGTGCAAATACCTACCTACCTACGGTTTTGTGTTTGATTCAATTCAAACAACGTTATTTTAAGAACCATAAAATATTCATATACACGTGACACGTTACTGATACCGTCTAAACGTTATAATACGAATTATATCACGTGCTACACACTACAGGCACCTACAATATGTAAATATTTTTGCTATTTAAAACAATAAATATTGTGTTAAAAAAAACTATAAAAACACGCTTTTTTATGTCAAAAATGAAGGCAGCTCCACGATTGTGTTTTACAGTTATTCATACTACTTCTGTGTACATACATAGCTACAAGTTTCGTTTCGATACGATGATAGTTATGAATGTTTTTTTGTTTACATAGTTGCTCACTGATTACGCCAATAGAATGTTAACAAGTTGGACTTGTTCGACATGATTTATCACATTTAACTTATAAAGCCGTACACATATTGTAATGAGAAAAAATGAATAAACGCTAAAAACAATCAACAGTCACGGTAGATGGATATTTCTTAATTTCAGTAAATTAAAAGTAATTTTATTTTGAGTCATGGTAATCTGAAGATTCTTAATTAAGGATTATTATTTTGAAATGCCACAATTGGCAATTGGAGAAATTATTTTTTACATTGACATTACATTTTTTACATTTTGACTTAATATCCTACGTGACCTACATGTCCCCTTTTTTTTCTGTGCAGTAATCCTAAAAACGGCACGCTATCTCAGATACCAGTAGCCGAAGAACCAGGTGTACCCGAGGAAGGAAAACCCCGACGTACCCCGGGCCATCTATAGCATGTAGATGACCCCCTCGTGTGTGGAAACCACGGTGTTCCCGTTCTATAAATTAAAGGGCGCGTCGTGCCGCCAACCTAGTCTGTCACCTCACCCGTCACCCCAGGCCTGCGCCTATGGAGGATGGAGGTCCTCCAGCGCCTGAATCGTCAGCGGTACGGAAGAGTTCTAAATCAGCCAATCCTCCTGGAGGAGTGAAAGGAACGACCTGGGCAACCCATCGGCGGGCACGCCGTTATGTGGGCCGTAAGGCGGGACCCTCTCATACCAGCTGACGCAAGTGATCACCAGGATAGGATGTTTCGGAGATCACCTGTGTCTGATCCATCGCCTGAGTGATCGCCGTCTTCTTCTGTGAGCAAATCATGCTTGCGAAGGAGACGGCGGAGCGGGACCGGGAGGGATTTAGAACCTACATGTCCCCGGGTGAGGCAGATGGAGTTCACAGTAGACTTCCATCTCGATCGATCTATAGCTTCGCACTTTCTTCATTTCGCTCCAACGCTTTGCCGATATGCTATTGGCATTTGCTTAGGACGATCACGCTAGCATTTTCTTTGAGTATTCCAATCCAGTGTCTGCTTGGGGATGCGATTGGGGTCCCTTCAGAAAGTGTTAAATCAATCTAGCAACTATTGCATTGTTTTATCTTGGCTGGGCCGAGAGATGACTTTAGTGGCCTTCCCCGTTTCGAGTCAAAATCGACGCCTTGCTTAATCTGTATTATGATATATTTACGATTACGTTTTTGGCGCTTATGATATTATTTAGTAAAGTTTTTATAAACAAACACTCATGCCTGTGTCCTGTAGAGGTAAGGAGAGGCATACAACCCTCCAGATGCTATGTAGTCACCTTTTCCTACCTGGGCCACAATCAAAAGAGAGGAACAAGACCGAAAATCTAAGGAACCCTTTTCTGTAAGAACTGAAAGTTCTACTTTTACGGTCTCCACTTTTCAACGAGTGTAGATAGCATACAGCAAAACCTGTACTGTAATAATAATAATATAATAATAAATTACTCACATTTCGATGTTAATATAATTGGCGCATAATCTCGTGCTTGTTTAATTAAGTATATCATCATCATCATCAACAGTCTTTAAAATTTCACTGCTGGACACATGTTTTTCCTTAAAAAGGAGGTTATACCACGCTGGCCAGACGGGTTACTATAGGGTTTGTTTCAAGTTTTCCTTCTCTTTGCAGTGCTGTTGTCTGCTGTTGCAATATTATTTAAGTCAAAAGCCTGATTACGAGTATATAACTAGCAGAAAACGAACAGAGTAAGGCCACTACTTTTGACGTCCGCTTGAAGTGCAGCGAACGCTTTATCTGTTTCCTTATTAAATGAATTACATGACAGAAGACGTATTGTGTCCCCGGCTTCTCCGTTCAAAATACATGATACTTTATAACACTATTCATAACTTATAATCTAGAATTATTAGTGACCGCTTCTGATTATGTGGGTGCGTGTTTAAACATTGATTGTATAAAACAGGTTTAAAGTAAAAAATGAGATTTTTACATACTTCATACTTTATTTTTTATTTAATACAGAAGACACTGTGATGGGAAAAATAATAATAGGGTGATAAAACCGTCAATGTACCAAATCCGCCGTAAACAAGGACAGTGATAAAAACTCAATCGGAGAAACACTCAAGAAATTATTTGCCATTAAAATGTTCAGCTAAAACATTCGCTTTGCATTTGATACTTAACTAATCGATTTACTGACAGAGACATATAGAGTAACGCATGTGTAAAGATCATAATTGAGTGTTAGTTACTGACACCGGTCATGTTCTTGTTCATCAAGCAGCTTAACGACGTGTTGTATCAGTTTTTTTGGTTCTTTTTTGCTTAAATTTTTAATAGAAATATAATTTAATTTTAACTCAAGTTTAAGGTTATACGACAATACAAAATACTTATATTGGATTGCAACTCAAAATAAATTTCTAATTAGTATCAAGGCCATTATTGCACCGTTTTCTCTGAATAAAGAAGAGGTAGCCCAAGTCTCAAACTCCTAATTAAGACATTTGTCATATTTTTTATTTTTTTATTTATTTATTTATTTATCACAAACACATCCTACACAATTCTTACAGGAAACCCAATGCGATTGTGAGGCTACAACTAATATTAAACTAATTTAACACATAATTACATAACTTTAAAATAACAGAAATAGAACTAAAAATGAAAAGAAAGCAAATAATCTTACGGGAAGTAAAAAATTTTAATATTAAAAGTTATACGATACTACATTTATTATAACCCTCGCGAGCTCACTCGAGTTACACGAGAATATATCAATTCTAGTGCTAATTTCGTTGATTACACGGATTGCGCGAGTAAGTGGCATTTTTGCCACATTTCATATGTGGTCATGAGGATGTTCTGAGATCACTAAGAGAGACCATCATTCCGCCGACGAAAGGGAGAAAGCGAGACCGCCACTCGTATCTGTCATGGTCCACCGCCATTTGTTAATGAGCTGATTCCGACAGTTTCACTTGCGATTATGGTGCCCGACCTGTTTCTAGGAGTCAAAGCCTAATATTACATACGCTATGAACTACAAATATGTACAACCAAACTCAATTAATAAACTACCCAATTAAAAATAATCGAATCATGTAGTGAGTGAAAAACATTAAAAATTCTCAACTTTATTGTTATTTAAATATTTTACCTAACCTAGATTTATCTTTGTTTAATCAATATATTATAAATAATGTTAAATTTTCTATTTTATCTCAGCACCTACCGCTTCATATTCTATATCAGTCGAAGGTCGCCTGGCAGAGAATGATCTGTGCGTTTAGTCCGCCTGAGTACAACTTGTGCATTAAGTTATAATAGATACATAAATATATATCTACCTTTTATTTCAGAAATAAAGATTGTTTTACGAATTAAACATTACATATACCAATTTTTAAACTTTCGCATACTATCCATTGTGCATATGCAAATTAAAAAAGTAATTATGTAAATATTTTTTGAGAAAATATAAAGTATAAAATAGATGAGTTGATATTTGATATAATGCGTGTCCGCTGGTTCGCGCCACTCAACCGTTGGTATCTGGTACTCATATTTTTGTTTTTTCTTTTTATATTAACACTTCTTCTTTAACAGCGAAAACTTGTCAGCGAAAATAAATAAATAAACTAGAGGTTATGACGATGATGACAGCATGTGTCCACGGCAGGTGCAACCCGTCCACGCGTTAAGCAATTAAAAACTATGTTAGCTGGTAGTAAATAAATATAGGTAGTAAATAACTATGGTAGGTGGTAGTAAATATACAAATAGTTGTACTTATCGACACGATGAGTTCAACGTCGGTTTGTTATCGTAATTTGCTAAAACTATAGCAACTGTCACATATTTGCAGGCAGCAAGACTTTGTACATATATCTGTACGCTAAAGTGGGCTGTCGATGATAAGAACTTTAACTTGCATAAATAACAGTACACCGTGTTACCCACCTTTGTTTATTTCTAGGTTGTTATTGCTACCGCGTTGCAATATAAACAATTAGAAATTGTAAGCGAATTGTAATGAAACGATGACGTCATCAAAACAGGTAGTTACCCACATAAGGTCAATTAACTTAGTTAAGATTCTTATGTAAAGTTGGTGAGTCACAAAGTAGTTGTCGTAGTGTTATGGCAACGGTATGTAATTAAAATTGACAATGTCAACCCTTAATTTGAGTGTATGTCTAGTGATACACTGACTTCAGAAATATTTTGTTGAAAGTAATACAGCATACTTTGAATAAATATTTATTTATTGATTGAAACACTAATTAGTAAGTAGAGTAAATAATGTAAACATCTAGCAACATCATTTTTGACACAACTACAAAAAATGTCTTCCTGGCGAAAGTCTCCTGCGCTGTCCAAGGTATTTATGTTATTTTTAGGGTTCCGTACCTCAAAAGAAAAAAACGGACTTTGTTATCCGTCCGTTCATCCGTCCGTCCGTCTGTCTGTCTGTCAAGACCCCTTATCTCTGGAAAACGTGGAGGTATCCAGTTGAAATTAAAACGATATACTCAGGTCTACAGGCTCTTCAAGCTGTCAAAAATTAATCTTCCTAAGTCAACGTAAACGTAAAGCCGTATATTTCGACACTCTCAAGGGAATCAAAATTTATAGGGTATTTTCCGTTGACCTAAAACTATAAAATTTGGCAAATAATACCGTATTATTTAACAAATAAAAGGAAAAATCTAAAAACTATACATTTGTAATTAAATTATAAAATAAACAAGGTCTTTATGCAAGGAACGGCGGTCCATGTTGGTTATTGTATGAAAGGGCTTCATTCACACTAGCTTAAACAGTTTTTTTATGATGTAAAAATTTGTACGGAACCCTCGGAGGGCGAGTCCGACTCGCATTTGCCGCTTTTTTATTATAATTATAAAGTGTTGGACTTGTGTAATGGCGGTTATTTATGCTTGAAGGTGTAATGAAATGCCTCAAATAGAAATTGCAATGTTTTATCGGAAGAATATTTGTATATTTGGAACACTAACATCATGTATATTGTGACATACATCGCCAAGTTCATAATAAAAGATATACACTTTTATTTGTATGTCATGGCATACACTGCCAATTTAAGGTTGCTTTGTTGCTGAATTTACTTTGCAATGCATAAGCTTTTTTTTCTTTAGTGCCACCAGAAGCTGGAATCCCATGGTGGTAGAATGGTGCTAGCTAATGCACCTTCCCTAAAAAGTCTGAACTGAAGGAACTATTTTAATATGTTCGATAAATGAAAAGTTTCTTTCTAAAACTAATCCTAGGTAACACACTGAGGTTTTATTTTTTACAGTAACATTGTCAAATCTAATGCTTGGCGCTGATTTGAGGTTACATTTTAAAAGTAGCTGGAAGGTTTTGTTGGGTGCAAAAGTTAAGCGATTACTTTCACCCCATTGAGATATCAAGTTCAAACATCTATTGGCTGATCTCTCAAGTCCCGCCCTAGTATCAGATTCCACCAGTAATAAGCCGTCATCAGCATACGCGTTCAGAATACATCCGGATGGTATTGGTATCGCAAGAAAATCGTCGAAGCCGATATTCCACAAGAATGGACCTAGCACCGATCCCTGAGGACATCCCATTGTAAGCGCCTTCGACACAGAATGATGACCAAGTCTTAGTTTAGCTGTACCTTGTGAAAAGTACGAAGAGATAAGGGAATAAATATTTTTAAAGCACCCTCGTGATTTTAATTTCAGCAACAGCATGGGCCACCATGCGTTGTCGAAGGCGCCAGATATATCTAAGAAAATAACCAGCACGTATTGAAATTTTGACTCTGTGACAAACTTTCTAACCGATATAACAGCGTCAGTTGTCGATTTACCCAACGTAAATCCAATTTAAATCCAATCCAATCCGTAATTCAAATTAAGGGTTAATATATATGAATAATGGACTTAATTTCCAGGCAAGCTCCTCCAGTCATACTCCAAAGCTCACAACGGAGTTACAAGGGCATGAATAAATGGCTGAATGGCTCCCACAAAAGGATGGTCTGGACTGGACTAAGTCTACTTATTTTTTCTTTGGTGGCCACCGTGCCTTACGTATGTGCCCAAAGTGATGCCTCAAGTGTTGATCTTAAGGCCTTAAAAATACGTCAAAGAAGCCTCTTTGATGTACTTTTAAGGGCTCTCATCTAACATAAGCCCTTAATGAACGCGACGAAACGACGCAATCATAAAACATATGACATTGATAAAATATATGACACCTCCCTATTACATAAATTCTTCTGTTTTGTTGGGTCCATATTATAGGTACACTGAAATTAATACCCATCTTTGCATTTACCTACTGTCTTAACAATTATAAATTAAATGTAAAGTTGAGGTCACGGCTATAAAAATATGATGTACACTGAAACAGAACAACTACGTATCGCGTTTACATAAATTAAATAATAACATTGAGCTCAACAGATATTAAAAACTTAGATAACACTCATACATACAGTTTAACCACAAAATATAAACGCACACGGATACAAAACACACATACTTTATGACTCAATACCAATTGGGTTTTAAGATTTAGTAAGTAATATTAATTATGTTTTACATGAATAATAAGTTGGCGCTCCATTTAGTCCAAGTGGGAGCCTTGAACACGTATTCATCAAGGAAGGCGAAGGTTGGACTACCTTCTTATAAGATGCCCTTAATGTCTAAGACTCTCTGTTCCTTTCAGTAAACATTCCCATGACTTCGTTCGGCTTGACAATGGGCTGGGTGTCGTTAGCTAGCGGCGAGAGTGTCGTCACGGAGCTATCCACGGACAGCGATCACACCCGTGAGAGAGACGTCAAGGTGGTGGTATCAGCTGCCATCACATTCTGCGCCTCGCTGGTGGGAGTGCTGCTTAGTGCGCGGTTACTCGCCGCTGGTAGAAAACTTGCGGTCATAGTCACATCGGGCTTGTTTGTAGTAAGCTTTCAAAATGTATTTGTTTTACAAAAGAACACACATTGAAATATATGTGTTGTGTAACCTACCGTCAGTCGTACATTTCAATGCATAATAACGTAAATTCTGCAGATGCATTGTCAATTAATTTGAATGAAAGAAAATGGCAAAAACATCTCAAATTGGTTCGCGTTTTTATGGTTGAAAACATTTATTTTCTCAAAAGAATAATTTAATTAGTTCAGAGAAAATACAAGATAAATATAGTAAGTCTCAAGTGTCGCATCGGCTTTTCAATTACATGTTATGCTTTTGTAAATAAGAAGTGTTAAAAGTGGTAAAGTAAAAAAGTGGTAGCTACCACAAAACAAAGGGTTTTAGGGTAACAAAACTTTAAATCTTACCTTTCCAAAAAAAACTTTGAACAGAATATTTCATTGTCACCTACCAGTCTCTCGACTTTTAGAACTTATTTTTGAACAATCATAAGTTGCAATTGATTCAAACACATTTCACCTTTGTTGTTTGCAGGCTTGTTGGTCGCTGAAGTTATGTGGTGGCGGATGGTGGCTAGTGTGTGCGCGAGCATGCGCAGGTCTTGGCGGCGCCGGCGCATGGGCCGTTACACCGCTGCTTGCCAAGGAAGTGAGAAACTTTTGACAATTGTCTTTAGATCAAATAAACTTCAAACCCAACAGTCAGTTCTAGTTACAGATTTGCGATCTTGACCTGCTGAGTTATTATTTATCCTCCTCTATGTAGCGTTCTTTTCTTACTAACATATCCTTAAACAAACTCTTATTTTTCCTCCTTAGTGCACAAAGCGATGTGTCGTTAACCGGGTTTTCGCAGTAGGAATAAATTATAGTTGTTTATAATAGGAGGTCGTCGCTATGAAGATAGTGGCAACATATACAAATTACAAATTTAATCACGCAAAAGCGTCGACACAAAATTTTACTAATTAATTTGATCGTTGAAATAGTTTGCTGACCAGTGCTAAATAATATGTGTATCTTGTCATAAGTACGATGACGTCATAAAGTCTAAAGAATTAGATCAATTAGTCCAGATGTTTGAATGCTTGTGAATGTGCATCGAACAGTTTTTGTTAGTGACACATATCCGTGGCTCATGGTAACCTTTTTATCCTTGCCTTGCCTTATTGCCTTTGACCTGTGCTTGTTACCTCTTCGTGTGTGTCTTTTGTTTCTGTTTATTCCTCTTTCTTTCTTTCTGGAATTATTCTTAAACACTTTAGAAAAGAAACTACGTATAACGTCTAATATGCATAATATATTAAATATTATTATATAACCTGAACATTAGTTCCGAGTAGTTTCACCCGGCTTAATTGTCATTAATTTCTTAAAAATCTTCTTATACATTTTTTTAAATCTAACTGATACATATTTCCGGTGTTTAAAATCTTTTTAGCTAAAATATATTATATTAGTACCGAATGTCTCTTATTTGTCTAGTCGTTGGTAAATCAGGGAGCATCTGTTTGAGTTGCTCAGAGATGAACGAGCGTGTTTTGACTACGAGGTCGGGGGCCACCGATCTTATTTCGACAAAATATGATTTACCGTAAAATATAAATATGTGTGCTCTGTGTGTTTACATAATATTAATTTATTGATAATTTTAAAAATCCAAATATATGTCTACCGGTAGGCCCTTTGCACCCAATCAATGAAATTGTACAGACAATTTATGTTTCTTAATATACATATATTGTAATGCCAAAGGTAAATATATCACAGGAAGGATTATTTTTTTCCCCCTTTGACCAGGTTGCACAGGTCTCACTGACAGTGACATTTAAAGTTATTTAACACCTATTAATCGTATTAGTTTCTTAATACTTTTTATAATAACCCAACCTTTAGATTAAAAGAATTAGCTAAATCTTCAATTCAGCTGTTTAGTAATCAAAATTAGCTGAGTAAAGTAGTTAATAATTACTGAGTCATTAGAGATTTGATGAATTGTTGGAATATTTGAGGAAACGATAACATTTTAATTTGAGGGTTTTAATTAATTGTTTCTTATGAATCGTAGTCCTTTTGTGCACGAAGCATTTTAATATGTGATTAAGTCACAAAAACACATAAAATAACAATTAAATATGAATCAATGTTCTTTATCTGTACAAAATTACATATTATACAAATGCAAACATGTCTTTGGTCGTTCGAATGTCAGTATACGAGTAATAATAAAACTACCGCTTCACGTGTTGTTGTTATTCCGAAATCAAAATGATAAACTAGATTACAGAAAATAATGGGGTTCCTTTTTAGCGTCAATTGGCTTCGTTAAGAGTAGGTATAGGATACGATATCAATATTATAAGTAAGTAACGACCCCTATAGGCATACAATCGCTAAAAAATAAGTACAACACTTTGAACAAAAAAGTAATTTCTAGAACACGGTTATAGGTAAACCCGTCTGCTCACAAGCCTAAGGTTCATTTTCCAGAGGCAGACAACAAAATAAATAGCTCACTTTAAATTTATTTTTGTATGAAGGTTCCTAAAGTTAAATAAATAAAAAGTTCTTCATTCACTCACATGATATGTTTAAAACTCCTTGATTATATGAATGCCTTGTCAGTACCCTATTTATTTAACCAGATGTGCTCGGCGCGGGTGAGCGGCGCGGCGGTGTCGGCGCTGGTGCTGGCCAGCAACTTCGGCGAGCTGCTCATGTACACCGCCGCCTACCTGCGCGTGCCCCACACGTAACTACATGTTCATGTCCTTTTTGCACTCGTGTGACCACCTTACTAGTACACATGAACAAAAACCCCTATTAGAAGTTCTGGACATACATGTGTTACTACAAATGTGTGTATGTCGCGGCCAGACCTCTTCTTTATGTGATCAACCGTTTAATGAAATGGTGAGTTTACATCATTGTATGGTGTGATCAGATCATTTAATAGTCAATGTTTGACGATATGAGTTCTAAACGCACTACTCTTCGTGTTACATTTATCCACTATTATAATAATAATAATCAGTTAATTGGAGTAACCATGACTCATTGCTTGTTAGTAATACATAAAACTTATCCTATGTTCGCAGAAGGATGCGAGAAATTGTCACACCACGAAGTGGTCAATTCTGAGATCTGACGATTCTAGAACGAGCGATTTAATCGAAGTATTAGAAGTCCCCTAAAACCTCCTTTCTAAGGAGAGGCCTATGTCCAGCAGTGGACTGTTAAAGGTCTAAGTATGAAACGGAATCATCAAACGTGATTTTGGCCCACTTCAAAAATTTAAACATCGCACACTTATCAAGATAAAAATACAATAATTTGATAAATTTGGCCGATTATCTTGATCAGGATTTTCAGGATTAACGGCTGTTTTCATACCTAAAAATACGGTAGTGTCTTTTGTAACGTACTAAGAGGCGTGTGCCGAAGAATATGTGACTTACTTACTTGTTACTTTTTTATATAGTCTTAATGAGAAAATTATAAACATTAATGACTAAAAAAGCAAACATAAATTATAATCATTTTGTCGTCAAAAAGCGTGGGATGCTTTTCAAGATATATATTATATATATTATTTATTTTATAATAACTTTACATTTGCCAATATCTGTCAATAAAATATGTAGACAACAATTGAGATCTAGCACCCCACGCATTTTTAGGATAAAAATATTTTCCTTTTTAAACATATAGAAAATTATTTTCTACTTTTTACTTCGTTTAGTTACAAAAGCGGTTTTTTTTAACTATAATTTATTACATGTTTTCAAATAGAGGACAAAAATATTCCATTTCAAATAAAAAGTCCAACACTGTACAACTATTATAACATAATATTTAGGTCCGTCCAGTTTTTAGAACCTTATTTTTATCTTGAATCCTTATCCTTCAAAGTTTTAAAAAAAGTTTTATATACTTTGCAGGACGGTGTTGTGGATATGTCTGTCCTTATCTGCCGTTCACTGTGTTCTGTTCCTGTTTATGCCTGAATCGCCCCAGTATCTCGCTGCCCAGGGACATACAGAGGTAAGTCGTGGTACTACTTCTCTAGTCATCGTATTACTAACAAGGTAAATTAATTATTCAAAGTAGTCTTTTCGACTTTATCTGGAAACGTTACAGTTGCTCAGTCGGAAAACGTCTCTAAGCATGGTTAGCACCGCTTAGCAAACATTTAAAACAAATTTTGATAACGTGAACTATACATCACTAGTATTCTTATTACCCATGCAAACTAAGCTTCCTACTGGTGCTAGGGGTAGCTTTACTTCGCTCGGTCGGAACCTGCGACCATTCGATTACGCTATCGCCGCTTCATTGTCTATTTCACAGACATGAATAGGGTGCAATAGCTAAGAGGAATGAAACATATAAATTTTGTAAATTTGTTTTTAAATGTCTGTTTCAGAAAGCTCGAGAATCGCTCGCGTGGTTGCGAGGCATGGACCGTGACGAACCAGAACTGAAGGTGGAGTTGGCGGACCTTCCCATCAAAAGGAAACCAGTATCAGCTTTTAGGTTGATTAATGACTTGTGTACGTTACATAATGAATTAGCACATTTGGAAAACTTTTTTGGATTCTGTGGCATTCTTTACTTGCAGATAGAAAGTGATATAGTAACGTTATGGTCTATTTAAAAGCCAGTAAGTTATGGAAGTCGTTTTATAAAAAACTTAAATGTTATCCAAAGATATATACACAGTTTGATAAGTACGAAAAACCCGTAGCTATTATAAAGGCAATCACTTGTAATTATCAAGATAGGAGTTAAAGGCACAGAATGGTGTTAAATTACAGACTACCCTTACTTCAACTTCAACTATTCCATTATAAAACATATTGAGAGAGCACTACAGCCACTACTTAAGGAAATAATTTTTGTATTATTAAACTTAATTTTCATTTCTCCTATTTTTCTAGCCTAAGCCTAGCCTAATAGTAGGCCAAAACCTCCTTTCTCAGGAGAGGCTTATGTCCAGCAGTGGACTATTAAAGGCTGTTGATGATGATGATCTAGCCTAAGCCTAGCTTTATTGTATGATGTTGACATTGTTGTATATTTAAGGATATGGTTTAATACAAGTTTTTTGTTTGTAGTCAGCGACGAGGGCAGACGTCGCGCCTTTATCCTCTGCTGTGTGATAGTGGTCGGACAGGAGATGTGCGGCGTGTTGGCGCTGATGCAGTTCGCTGAACGCGTGTTTGTAATAGCACGTGACCAGATTGAAGTGCTGAGACCGGTAGAGGTGGCTGGCACGTTCTACGAGCCTGCTCTTCACGCTGTACTTCTAGGCACCTCCCAGCTGTTTGCGTCAGCCTTATCTTTATATCTTGTAGAGAAAATTGGCAGAAAGGTAACTTTGACAGTTTCAAGATGAGTAATTACTTTTTGACTTTCAACCGGGTCTTTGCTAGAATCCCATTTGGAACTGACCGGAGTGGGACTGTTTGGTTATAATTGTTATTAGCCTTTAATCTGTGTTGTAATGTTCTATGTAGCGTCTTATATCGTGGTGCGGGCTAGTGACAGGGATGTCGATGTTATGTGGCGCCGCTGCGGTGCAGTGGGCCGCGGGAGGGCTGTGGATGGCGGTCGCTCTCGGCACCGCCGTCTTTGCCGACTCCGCGGGGCTGCAGCCGGCGCCCTACGCGGTGCTCGCTGACATGTTTGATTACGAGGTCAGTTCATTTATTACTATATTTATAGTTATATCTGTGTGGTGACGGATTAAGAATACGGAATGTCACCACCCCTATTTATCCCGTGGGTGTCGTAAGAGCCGACTAAGGGACTAAACTACAAGACAACAGCACTGCAAAGAGAAGGAAAACTTGAAACAAACCCTATACCAACCCGTCTGGCCAGCGTGGCATAGTAGGCCAAAACCTCCTTTCTAAGGAGAGGCCTATGTCCAGCAGTGGACTATTAAAGGCTGTTCATGATGAGTCATGAGTCATTTATTAAATTGATTTTTAATGGAGTCTATAAATTATAGATAGTTAATTTGATATATTAGATTTCAATCCGAGGTCATGCAATACATTCAAGCAAAGTACATAAATTGTCTGGAACTTTTATCAATAAGTACAAATCGTCTTAAGACAAATTCTTGTTGGTTGATAATGTTGACAGTATCGCGGTTGTGCAGTACTACTGATCGCCGTGCTATCGTGGCTGGGAAACGCGGTGGAAGTGCTTCTATTCCCGGTGGTGGTAGTGCAAGCGGGACTCACCGCCGCTCTCGTCCTGTCGGCAGTCCTGACTCTCTCGGTCACTGTGTTTGCACTGTGGAAAGTGCCAGAGACGAGGGGCCGCAGTACGGCTGAAATATACCAAGTGTTACTCGGTCGGAAGAGATCACGTGATCAAGATGAGACGTGTAAAGAGACAATGATTGAGTCAGACTAAAAGCCTCATTTATTATGGCTAAAGGTTGTTAAGCTGATTAGATCTCTAAGGAGTGATTTAAAAAACTTTAACTACGGAATTGTCAATTTAATGCAATGACGTTATATCCCGTTATTGTTGTAAAAAATTTACCGCAAGACAATCCGTCAAACCAACAGATGATTAATGGCAATCGTGTGTTTTTTGGCATTTTGTAAATATTGATCATTTTTAATGTATTTACTATTACTTATTAATTACTATTTAATCTGATTCGCTAAATGCTTTATGGTAAATACCGTAAATATGTAAATATAACAGTTCGTTGTACCATAAGTAGTGATTAAAATGTATAAATTGAAGCTTACGATGGAGGAGCCTCCTGAACGTTTAATCCTAAGAACAATTATTTATATAAACTGTCGTGATTGTACCACTGGCTAGCATTCATGTAATACATAAATAACGTTAATATTATGCTCTAAATAAAATCCTAATTATGAAACTTAAAAGTATGTAAAATATTAAATCAATTTATAAACTTTTTTTTTGCATTATTACATAGTATATTATTAGATTAAAATTATTACATAGTTATAATTTGCCTATTTTTTATAGCTTGACGTTGAGCTGGTAGTAAGCGGTCGCCACGCTTCTCACTACTACGCTGAGTGTTGTGGGTCCGATCCCGACATGGGATGAAAAAAAAAAAAGATGGACAACAAAGTTAACTTATAGGGGTTCCGTTTTGTCCTTTTGACCCTGAAGTTGATGTCAATCAAAATGTTTAATAGGTTTACAAATGAGCGCCAAGGTATTGATAATATTTATTAGATAATAAATTGTATTTATCGCCTTGTGTCTTACACACGTAACAAGTTAGTAGTTGGCAGGCGCTGTCGCTTGGTGCTGATTTTTTAACTTCGCTCAGGCGAGGAGACGTCGCTCAGTGACACTTATACTTACTTTACATGCGTGCCGAGGCTTGGCACAAACAGGCACTTGGTCCACAAGCTCCAAGCCTTTAAAAATGCTTGAATGTCATTTACACGCTTGCGAGTGTGTTATTGTGTTCTGGACAGGCCAACATAAATAAATATCTTTTGATCTGTTTTAAAAACCGACAATAGTACCGATCGACCACGAGCTTACACGAGCCGAGCCAAACACACCGTTTACACTGGTTTACACGCTTGTGTTTGTGGATACTTGTCGAGGCTTGCCATGCGACTATTGTGTAATGTGTATCCAACAGTACAGTACGGTATACAGTGAAAACCGTATACAAACACTTATACGAACATAACATACCACTAAGACTCAAAGAAACAAATTGAGTTAGAAGAGTAATTTTAAAATAATTTACTTTAAAAAATAATAATTAAATCATGCTATTAATAATAATTTTTCTTAGAGATTCTTAGAGATTCAATACGTTCTTCAAATTAAATGCGGCCAAGCTTATAAGGTGTTCAATTTAAATCTAAATAATTAAAGTCGTTTCGCCAATAGCACACACAAATTAGAAAATAACACACTCGCTACGTGTAGAGTATGTTACGTCTAAAGCCCTTTAAGAGCTGGAATGTCAATTGACCTTACAAATTGATTCTAACTCACAAATTACTGGCGAGCGCGGAGCTGCTCCATTCAAAAGAGTTTACAATCAATTTGCTCGCACAAGCTCGTTTTAACGCTCAGAATGTTTTCAGTGTACCTACCTGAGATGTTTGCGTTGGAAGACGATGTGGATCTAAATGTGTATTGCCTTCGACCAATATATTATATTGAAATATTAAATACTCGTATTATGTACATTTGTAAAATGTTTCAATGTTTTATTTATATCAGACCAAAAGGGAATAGAATATTGTCTGTTTACACCAAATAGTATTAGTAGATCTTACCACTACAAGCAATCCGTGCCAGAAGATCTATCCAGCAGTGACGGGCCTGTTAGTCTAGTGGTTAGTGACCCTGAATGCTAAGCCGGAGGTCATGGGTTCGATTCCCACCCAGGACAAATATTGTGTGATGAGCACGGTCATTTGTCCTGTGTCTGGGTGTAATTTCTCTGTAATATGTATGTATTTAGAAATATATAAGTATGTTTATCAGCAGTCTGGTTACCATAGTACAGGCTCTGCCTAGTTTGACCGGCCGGGCGACGGACCGACCGAACGGTTCATAAAGATGTCTTTTCAGACACTAGAATACTAGCTTAGTGAAATGAATAGCGTTCACTAGAGTACTTCTTAAACGAAAGTAATGAAAAATATTTGTCAGTTTTAAAATAAAGAAAAGAACAATTTTGAACTCCCAATTAATCGGGGAAGGGATTAATCTATGTGGGGTTGTGGTCCGGGTTCCGTGCTAACTACTCTATATAGGTGTTCACCACTTAGTTGATAGCCCTCGAACGTAAATGTTATGTTATTATATTGACATTGACATATTTGATTAGTTAGTGCGATTAAGTGTGACGTCACAGCGCAATAAGTCGCATATATTGTTAGTACTTTAGGTTTGTAAATAATGCGATGCGGTTTAACAGCTACGAAGGATATTGAATCGTCTATAAGAAGTTTGTCTCGAGTTAATGCCATCTCGTTGTCGTCGCAAATAACTTTCATACAATTTTATCAACAATAAATATATCCATACATATAAAGATACCGATCACAACATCGGTTACAAACATATGAATATATGTAAACATTTAATAAACTTTGTGTGTTTGGTGTAAAATAGTTTATTCAATTCGGTTTTATATTCTAACCTTCAACTAGGACCGTACGTGGGATTTTCATAAATATTTACAAAACGTATAGAAGTTATCAAATACAATGTTCAACATTATATAATTTGTTACTTATTTAAGAGAAAACTTTTAATATAATTTGAGTTATTTCCTAACAAAATATCTGATCTTTCACTACCGTTGTTCTATTAGACCTTTAAGGTTTGTATTATTACCATTACGTTAATACTTAATTTAAGTTAATATCGCTAAACACGTTCCGTTCTTAATATCTTCGAACACTTCAAGACTTTCGAGGATAGCGTTATCAAACTCGTCCAGAGTCCACCTTAAATTTGTATTCTCGTAGTATACTACGAGAATACAAATTTAACGAATTGTTTTGTCATCCTCCGAAGTTGAGTAGATAGACTGTTATCGGGCTCTAACTTCCCTAACTATTAATGAAATTACGGGTAATGGAAACAATCAAATTGCATTTACTTTTAACCTTAACTTAACTTAACTTAAAAAGTTTACGATTATTATGAGCCCCTCCTCTAAGCCATGATTTCATGGATTATGAAGGTAAGAGTACTTCTTAAGATGGACTGTACGAATTGCAGGCCTTCCTTTTCGGATCACATAATATCATTAATTCATTTTATACGTAGTAATTTTACAAGTAGTATTTAATTTAATACGGTATAGATGTTGGCGCTCCAGCAAACAACGTCGGGCCTATGTATGTTGGGTGGGAACAAGGCCGTCTCTCAGTTGCCTCGCGAGCCATGTCACTCCGTCGGCGATTCCCGCACCGGACAGAGCGCAAGAGGCACAGATGTGCCACGGCTTGTCCGTGATGCGCTCGAGGCACAGCGCTGGAATACACAAAACACCGATTGTAATGTTTCAAACATTACTAAAGCAACAGATCAGTAACCCACAACATTACCACACATTAAACCCACAGCATTAAAATTTGATCCAAATCTTCAATCACTTTTAAAGTAACAAACATTCCCGTGTAATTCATGCGAGACCTTACCAGCTGCGACCTGCATGGGGGCAAGCGCATGCGCCGCATCCGACTTGTTGGCGAATATGAGGAGCGGCACTCGACGACCGAACATGTCCGGGTGGGCAAGAAGAAGTTCCATCTCCTCGCGGGCCACCACTGACGAGGTACAATGACGAGACTCAGTATGGAACTATTAATAGAATCAATAATATATCTACACTCGAGCAATGAAGCTGGTCGCATAAAATATATGGTAACTTTTTGGGTTTCATGTTTTTAATGGCTTTTATCAATTCTTGTTTCCGGCTATGATTAATTCCTGATCCGGAGGACCCTCGTGAGGATGTGGCTGAAATACACTTTTAAGGTGTTCGGTACATGGTACATTTTTTAAGATCGATCGAAGAACTGTAAATATAAATAAACGAAGAACTGTAGATATGTCGTGGATTGAGGTCACCGAATGTAATACGTTTATCTCTAAACTTCGTTGAAGTTTCCACTTAATTCCACTACGATGTTAGCATATTGCTTACTAAAGTGAATAAGAGCAAATAATGGAACTGGCCGAACTAACTTAACTAACACAGTAGTTAACTCCACCGGTGCGTTGAAACAAGCAGTTGTCCCCGTTGCTAGTTCATTGTGATCTTATAACCAAGTTATATTAAAAGTTGAGTACAAGAGCGGCCGTGGCGAGTCCCCTCGACGCCGAACGTAATCAATGTTCACACAGACGCGACACTTTTAAATATTCAAATTATTATTTTTATGCTAATACATAATTGGATTTCTTTGTGATCAGAGTATAAAAAATAAGAAAATATTAATATACTATTTTCTATTGTCTTCCTAATTAAAAAACCAAAGCAGTGCGAGTCTGACTAGCGCTCCGAGAGTCCCGTAGGCAAACAAATCTATGTGTACTCGTACGTGTGTAGTAAAAGATTCTACACCTATTTCATGACTTACAGCGTGTCAATAGATAAGATATCAATTACAATATTATAAATACTTTTCGATTGGCACGAACATTTTTGAACTATTTCAGATATTGCATCAACCAAAACCATTGCTACACCCGCGGGTCTTAGATGATCTGGTGTGAAGTGAACAATTAGTAAGTGATATTTTCACGAGTAAATTGAAATGATAAATATTCTATGTTCGTGTATATTCGTATATGTATGTAAAGTTGTAGTGTTCTACTACAACTTCACACGTAACTACAGCTGTGAGTTACGGTGTGTTTACACTGGCCAGAGTAACAGCTCTGATAGAGTTTGCCAGTACATTAACCAGTTTTCTGTGAAAAAACCATGCTTCAGCACCTATGGGCAAACCCAACCGGAATGATTACACTTAACTTACACGAAAATCGGTGTTAAGAGATTTTTTTATTGATTTTCAATGATTGAGTTAGGTACCGAATTTATGTGATCTATTTCAGAGAAGCGGTTGTTTCTTATTTATATGTGTTATGTGAACCACGTTATAAATGTATTGAGTTCCAGGGAGGCCTCTAGAAACCGCAGATGCGTTCCTGGAGGTCCTCCCGACTGCTGAGGTAGGCCGCCGCGGGGTTTTGTGGGTAGACCGGTTCTCCGGGAGTCCCACACACGTCCTCCGTTTCCCCAACGGAGAATATAGTGCGAAAAGCATCCCCGCATTAAAAGAAAATTGGCTACAAGTGTTACGAGTCTCTTACGTAACCATACAGTGACACGTACCGAGCCTGAGATGGTCGGCAGAGTCCACGACGAAGATGACGGCGTGCGCGCGCCGGTAGTGGCGCTCCCACAGCGCGCGGTGCCGCGGCGCGCCCGACACGTCCCACGCGCTGAACGACACGCCTCCGCCTGGAACGAAATACTCTCAACGCTCACCAACTACTGCCGACGGTAATCCGCCCCTAATCTAAAACCTTTTAATTTAAGCTTTAGCATTACAGACGACCACACAATCGAAATCAATGAGTGATGTATAATATTAATTGGTAGACTTTAACCTTAACTTTTGGTATAGGTAGCTCTAAACCTTGGATATTGAACTGTATAAAAAAGTATTACATTGACAGCTTCAAATTATAAATGCTACTCTCTAGAGCAGTTTTCTCGTCATGAAAACAAATCGTGAAATGTATTCGTTAGTATGGTCGGTCAAGCAACAATTCCGGACCTTCCAAAAAAAAATGTTATAGCATACACCTCTCTCCCATCCCATGGTGCAGCCTGTACTGCTATATAATATTTCTTATGTGAAAAAAGGATTGAATTTTTTTACTGGAAGAGCAACGACTTTCCTAGATTTACAAATGCGTTAGGCACCTATTCGTTTAAATTAATCGACCAAGAAGGTACCTAGGCAGTAGTCGTTTGTCGTCTAATCCTCTAAGTTTTCTTTTATACCTTACTAGACATATAATATAAGCAACAATCTAACTGCGGTTTGTTTCACTCTTAACAAGACTGTAAGCTTCATATTTCTGTAAATCGAAATAGGCAATATCTCTCTAATTTCCATCAATTCGACACAAATAATTGGGTTTTTGTTCGATGGTGCGATGAGAGAGATTGGCCCTTTGGATGAGTACCTCGCAAACCGCACCCGGCTTCCAATTATTGGCGCGCCAATTGAAAGAGCTTGTTTCTTTGTGGTCTCCGAAAAGCTTTACAAACGGTATAAATAAATAGTACGTGCAATCTGGAGCCTCGACCTCAGGATGTTTATAGATACTGTACTCGCTGAAGGAATGGGTGCAGAATATCAAGCTTTGTGTATGATTTGATTGATTATTTTGATTTTATATGTCAAGAATCGGATTTTCCACAACGTCACAGTTAAAAAAACACTCATTAATTAATTTATTTTATCCTTTCCTGTGGTTGAAGAAAATGGGTTTTCAGTAACATTAAAATAGTAGTTAAATATCTAATACGTTCATGTAAATTGTTAATGGGACAGGAGATAGGACATCTAAGTAAGGAGACTAACTCTGAAAGTGCTCCTGTTGCTGCGCGACGGTGGGCGTGGTGTGCGCGACGCGCTGCTCTGGCGCCCTGAGCGCGTTGAGCAGCGTGCTCTTGCCGCTGTTGTCCAGCCCCAGCACCAGCACCGTCACCTCCGCCTTGCCGCGTCCCAGCCACACTGACAATTTGTCCAGCAGACCCATCGCTCATGCGCTACGATAATACACACATTAGGTGTATGAACATTAATTGGCTACTTAATCCAGGCCATTGTAGCCATATGAAAACTTATTTACAAGATGTTATAGAGTTCCTCTCGCCAACAACTGGTTTAAGTTAGAGGCATACGAATCTGACCTTTTTCCTACCATTTCCTTACTTTCTTACCTATCTTCCTTTCGGTATACTGCAAAATTAGCTTGTCTTATATCTAAAGTGCCTCGGTGCCCCTATTAAATAAGTAGGAATAAAACTACAGTTGGCAAAATTTAATAAGTACATCTACACCTTCAAGGGAATAGACGAAGAAGAAACTGTGTGTGTGTAGGTCTCTGACAGCGCGCGAGACGAGCTGTTGCTTATTGGATGGAGGGCTGCCCAATCTATCCGACTTGTAAACACATCTGAGAGATTTACTTACAGAAATAAATATAACTTATTTATGATTATCTCTTTCCTTTCCTTTTGTAATAAAAAAATTTGGATCGTAAATACGCGCTGTGTAAGTTTTATTAAAACATAGTTAGAATCTATTTTTATAAATATTATAATAGTTTGCGTTGTCGTCAATAACAGTTCAGTTAAATGTCCCGCCTCAACTTATCATATACACAAATAACAGGAGTTAGAGTAGTCTACGTAATGCGTTAGTACTTCCTCGATACAGAAGATTTGGACAACACTAACGACGTAATACGGTTTTCTTGCTATAGATTAAAAGGCACTGCAGCATAAAATGTGCGGGTAAATGTTTGAAACGCACGAGTGATTGTATATTTATATGAATAGAATAGAATAATCTTTATTGTTGACCAATTCAGGATATTATACATACAATGGTACCTATTCCAAGTTAAATATGACATCATATTTGTAAGAAAATAACTTTGAGAAAAATATCTCAGGCACGGAAACAAACGCAGCTGTAAACACTTACGGCGTTTATGTGTTAAGCTTAAAAAAAAGCGTAAATAATTTAGCTTACTTTTCCATCATAAATGCGTTTGTTTCCGTGCCTGAGATATTTATAAACTATCTATACTAAGATGAAATAAATTAACGTACAGTTATTAAAAACAAATGATTTTACCCAATAAGATCCTTTTTTTTAAGAATTAGAGCATAGGACTTAGAGATCTTCTTTTAAAATGACCACAATAAATCAGAAAACTCTTGAATACCCAGACTATCCCTCGTGTCTTGTATTAGTTACTTTAAGGTCTGTTGTTGCAATAATCTGCTGAGAACAAGTGAAAAAACGGCTGCGTACGGACGGTTGAAACATTTATTGAAATTTGCTTGGTTCCAATATTTGATTTTAAGGTTGGTGATAAATATCTATTGTATCATTCAATACCTGGTTTACGATAATGATTATTATTACCTATTGGCATTTCCATTACAATACTACAAAAGTAACTGTGGCATCGCCAACAATTTAAAGGACGCAACTGCATCACACACCGTTAACATACCACTTCCTACGACCCTCTTTGTCATACTAATTTGGCGAGCTCACGATTTTAAAGCAGAAATAAAGGTATTATGCAATGGTTGGTTTAATCGCAGCAACATCGCCAAAGTAAGATTGACCCCTGGTACAGTGAGACGAACAGCCGAAGCTAACACCTTGAAGTGGCTCTGTACTGTCACAATTTACAACGCAATCAAACATACATTTTGTTAGTAACTAACTATTCCACTTAGCATTTGGAATAATAACTTACCTGCTTGTGTTTTCACATAATATCAAACTTAAATCAATACGCGCAAAGTTGCGATGTTCCTCCGCTTGTCACGAACTAAACAATTTCAAATCGGGTAGAAGGCTGTACCGCCCTGTGTGGGCACTCACTGTGTACTAATGCGCAATTATTGTTGGGTTTATATTGAAACTGATTCAATGTTAGTGGCGCGGATGGTCGCGGTACCTCGATGTTGTCGACGTTGCCATACCAACTGGCACACAACACGCTCCACGGCTAGGTATGATCGCCAACTTTCGTTAAAAGAAGGACATTCAATTTAATTTCATGACTAAAGATCTGTTTAGTCTACCAGTCTGGTCTACTTACACTGGAAGTAAAACAGTTTGAACTGCCTACAATATATTTTCCACATTTATATTTCCACATGTTTATCATATTTCAACATATTATTTTCCATTCCGGAACACTTTACGGCACTTTACATATATTAATTATTGTCCTCATTTTAGAATTATTTGTCCAGGCTGAGAATAAAACCTCTAACTTATCGGTCAGATTTATTAACCGCTTAGCTAGACTAGCCGTATATGATTGTTCCTTACAATTGTATGGTCATCAACAGCATCATAAATTATGAAAAAATTATCGAATAGAATCAGCAATATTATTGACATCAAACACGTTTCTTCCGTACCAGCTGATGGTTCTTTGTGAACCATGATATCTTTCTTCGTCGGAGATAGTAGTACTAGCACTTCTTTAAATTTTGATTAATAATGGATACCCAGTCTCCTTACAAGGGTAGGTACGTCTACAAGAGCAGTTTGAAGTCTACCAAACGATTAAATATTTTCAGAATCAATGCGTAATTAACTGAGTCATGATAAGTAATGAAATGTAAAGGGCAATAGCGACTTGCAAACTATGTGTCAGTGTTCCATGCAAACAAACTGTTACTGTTAATGGTGACATACTTATAATAACATATATGTAAATAGTAAATACGTACTCGTAATAATGTACACACACGGGATTCAACGCGATCACGTAGTAATTTGTGAATTCACTTGTAAATAAATTACACATAATTACATAAACACTGTCTCGCAAACTTCAAGATCGTCCTGGTACATATGTACAGCAAACAGAAATCACGCAAATATTGAATGCTGGCATAAACTTTCAAATGATCGTGACAATAATTGTACCTACAATTAAAAGCTCTGCTGCTCGCTATTGATATTTGAAACGAATAAATAACTTGTCCACTTAATTTTTAATGGCTTTGATCTCATTATAAATGTTACAAATAAAATTTTGATGAACCTTAAGTGATTTTATTGTGTACCTACCGATTCGCAAGCGAGCAGCGAGCACCGTGGCATATTAATCGACAAATGTTGCACCCAACATAGGTACATAACTTATACTGTGTGGGCGAAGTTCTACTTTATTGGTCGTAACATAGAAAACAGTTTATTTAGATCCCCACGTAGAAATATTACCAACAAATGTAGACTTACAGCCAAGACTTCAAAATCTAGTTTTATACTTAAGTTTAAGCGTATCTGTAATCGTGATTCCTAGCTGGCACCTTCTTCTTCGTTAGAGTCGACCGCCGTTTTAAGCCTTTGTTCGTAAAATAAAGCGTTATGGTGTAATAGTTACGTGTACCTATAGAGCCTATAAAATATTAAAAATAGAATTAAAAAATATAGAAACAGTACTCCCGAATTACTTGCTTGTGAAAATACCCTGTTCACACACAACAGCCATTCCAAGTCTGGTTTATTTGTAGTTAATATGGTGAATCTCGTTTTTATTTAGCATGTGTACGAGTATCTCTGTTACAAACTTCAAGTCTATCTATCTATCCGTCTGTCCGATATTTCGTTTATATATAAAATAATAAGACATAACGATTGTTTCATATTTGTATTTATTACTTCTCTGTGTTATGTTAAATATATATCTGTTGTGTCACAAACTCCCGTATTGCACATTATTAAATCCATACATTATTTTTTCACCTTTTTTTCCTTTCACAGTTTTGTACCGACTACAGAATCATTTCTTATTTAAGTAGTTAGACCTAAGTAAATATGCTAAATTATACAATGAAATAAATATTACCTATCAGTAAAACAATACCAACACTTATTAATTATGACATTTTAGCTGTCCCCACTTGCATCGTCGTTTCAAAGAGATAATGGACATGGGAATACATTGTTTTCGTCACCTTATGTCCTTTTCTATTGTCTGTAAAACATTATACAATTATACATGAACTAATATTAACAAACCTATATATTTGGCACTGTATAAGTTTGACGTCGACCAACATACATTTTTTTCGAGTCTTTTTATTTTTTACGCAAAGCCATTACACGGACACAGCTACAGGGTAGCTCATTATACATGTACCGGTTTCCTCGTGTCATATGTACGTAGTAGGACCATCATAAATCACAAAAGGTATGACTGCGGGTGTAATGGCAGTGATAAACAAAAAAATAGAAGTAGGGTAGCAATGTCATGTGACCTTTTGTCAACTTCCCCTACGAGCGACGCTTTTATAAATAATGATATCATCCCCTTAAAATCACAATTTTGTTATCACACTTTGACGGAAACTCACGACACTGGGATAGACATCCCTTCTCTTAAGTAGCTTGTCGTATATCTCGGCGGTGGTGCGGCCCCTGGTCTCCGGTACCCTCCACATCGCATACACCGTGAGCGACAGAGTGAGAGTAGCCGAAAGCGTGAGGGCGACGGGAAGTCCCGCTTGCACCGCCACCAGCGGGAATACAACCACCTCAACCGCGTTCCCCAAACTCGCCAGAGCACTAATCAGCAGCACTGCGCAGCCGCGGTACTGTGAACATATTTGAACATGATGTTCCTCTGTCCTAGATGCCGTGCGTAGAGGTGCATAAAACTATTTATGGTCTCTCGTGATCGTTTAGTGTTATATCTATGTATACGCACTAATGTTTTTTGATGTTCATAAGCATAACACATTACCTCATAGTCAAACATATCGGCCAACATGGCGTAGGGCGCGGGCTGCAGGCCGGCGGAGTCTGCGAACACGGCGCTGCCGAGCGCCGCCGCCGCCCACGGCCCGCCCGCCGCCACCTGCACGGCGACAGCGGCCAGCGCCAGCGACACGCCCGTCACCATGCCGCCCCATATCATTAAAAGCTAGAGACCAAAATACAATCAGTCAATTAAATTCAACTTTGTCTGTAAAATATTCTTAAACGCAAACCACCAAACTTACAAACGCATGTATAGTATTAGTTAGGATAAGAAGAGATACGAACCTTCCTGCCAACCCTCTCAACGAGATACAAGGCGAGTGCGGATGCAACCAACTGTGCGCACCCTAGCCACACCGCGTGACGCGCAGGCTCGCTGAGTACGCCCGACGGGTCCGAGGGAGCCACGGTGTCGCCGTGCCCCCGCGCCAGCACGAACACCCGCTCGGCGAATTGCATCAGCGCCAACACACCACACGTCTCCTGCCCGACCACCATAATGCAGGAGAGAGTGAATGCCCGACGTCGGCCCGCATCACTGACTGCCACACGAAAAAATAGCCCATAAGTAAGCTCCTGTAGCATAACGGTTCGAGCCTTACAGACATAGTGGACATCGTGAGTCCCATTGTAGGTAGCTATACCGGTTTACAACTCGAGCTACTAGTGTTGCAGACGCCAAAGTTGAGACGCGTGGCGCCATCTGTTACGTGCCTGTGGAACTAAGCGAATGTTCAGAAATGTTCGAATAGATATTTCAGAATTTTGCACCGTGTTCAAGTAGTTTCCAAACAGATGTCGAGTCAGTTTGATTATTAAGAGCTTTACTGGCATATTTATGTTCCATTAGCAGAGTTAATCAAATATCAGAAAATGATCAGATTTATCCGAAAAAAAAAACACGGACCTGAAGGACGCTGATAAACTAGCAGTTACTAATTGAACCTGAAAACATTTGGTTGTATACGTCGCGCTGAAGTGAATATAATAATATTATGAACAGATGTCTCAAACCTTCTGTAGGTCATATTGCAATTACTGTGTCGGCTAAACTTTACCGACCTTCACATTATCAGCGTATAACGAACTAGTCACTAAATGTTTTATAAGTATACTAATGCAATATAATATAAGGTCCATACATTTGTATATTATACGATTACTTGTTCTAATGATTAATTTGAACATTAATTTTTATCATATGAAATTTTATTTATTTATTTCATACATGAAAATCTTACTGCTAGAAACATCAGTAAAGTTACTCAAATATTCACCTGAGAGCCAATTACAAGTTTTAACTTCTAGTTTCACACTAACAGAAGTTGTGTAAGCAAATGTTTTAGGAAAAAAAATAGAAAAACAGACAATCAAGAGAAATTAAATGAAATCACACAGTACTTAACTTACTTACCAAAAATTCTCAGTGACTTTTTGTAAGCTTTACCACAATGTTACATTATGCCTTATTGAAAAAAATACTATTTAAATGAATACTTGAGAATATTATTTCAGTTACTAATTTGTTAATCTTTAATTGTAATAGTTATATTTGATTATATGTCGATCTGTAGTTAGTTACAACTTCTCGTTGCCGTGTGTTTTCTCGCAGGCTCTTTCACATAATCGCCATTGTCGCTTAAACCGTAATGTGTAAATGAAGACTTCATCTACTTTATATGCTATACGTACACAAATTTTTAATATGCCTAAAGGGCGACACAGGTTTTCCTTCAGTAGGAAAGTTAGTCAACTCCGCCTTGAGCTCAGGTGCGTCGCGGTCCACGCCGCGCAGCCACGCCAACGCTTCCCGAGCTTTCTGCAACAAAGTATGTCTAGGAAATTAATTAGCTCACACTCAAAAGTTAAATCACATTACATTGATTAATACTATTTAGACTATTAGTCAAGGAGTGAATTATTAAGTCACTATAACTCACTCGTGGAAATAACTGAGTGGAAGTGATAATTTCTAATTTCTTTTCAAGTATATACTATTCTTTGCTTTTAGTTATATATTATCAACAATACCTAAAGTACACTAACAAAAACTACTAACGTACTTCGAACTTCTGAACAAAACAACAACTTCTGAACAAACAAGCCTTATTTAATAAGGCGTTGTAATGTGTTTGAATACTTTCATTTAATAACTAGCTACTGCCAGCGACTTCACTCGCGTGATTATTTTTTCCTGTTTATAACTTTGAAAATGACGAACTTCCATAAGACCGTTCATCCCTTATTTAACCCCCATGAACTTTATAAAAATCCTTTTCTTATCGGGTGTTCACAAAATAAAAATCATCAGCCACCAAGCTTGGTGACTCAGTCAGCCAGTCAGTCAGTCAGGGGAAGTAATATTATATGTTTAGATAAAGCAGGTGAACTACTAGCGTCACGTGTACATTTCTGTATCCGACTTCTAAAAGGAGAAGGCTTTCACTTCGACTGGTTTATTTGGTGTGCAATTCTTCTCTTTAATTGAATTGGTTTGTAGAAAATATTGTACCTCTAAGGGAGGAACAATATAGGTTATGATACATTTTTATAAGTAGTAGAAAAATACATCACCAAGTCATTATAATAGATATAATAGGCGATATTATAATAGAAATATAATATATGTTTTAGATTTCGTTTCCTAATCCTGCAATAATAGGCAAAAAGTAGAAACTCACCTCCGTGTGACCTTGCGAAGCGAGATACTGCGGCGACTCTGGCATAAATATGTACAGCACACCGTGAGCCAGAGATAGCAGCAAACAACTCCACAACACCGTTCTACGAAATAAAAAATTAACAATAAAAAAAAGTCACCTGCCGAAACCCGGGATTGAACCGGGGACCTTTAGATCTTCAGTCTAACGCTCTCCCAACTGAGCTATTTCGGCCCTTGATTACACAATATAATTCAAGTTTCATTTATTACAGTGTACTTACTATGTTTTTTTACAATGAAATCAGTCAGTATCCACTAAAAAAATTTGCACCTAAAAGCAGGTCAAGGGAGTGTCGATCAATTATATCTCAAATCTATTTATAAAACATGACAATGGAAATGTCTAACACTGATAAAACAAGTATGTGTTTTGATAACGGATGGTGGGCGTGGCTTACTGGTCACTACTCTACCTGGTAAAACATCCAATTGTTGCACGGGTACCTTCCGTAATTTATGATAAGAGCTTTAAGAGCTCTGCAGTCCCCACCTGGTGACCAGTCTGCTCAATTGCAAGCAAGCGAGCATTGCAGTGCATTTCCAACCCTTTTCAATAAATCACTCGCACAGTTATTAGAAAAGCGATATTCCTCTCGCTTATGATAAAGTGAGATATTAAACATCAAAAAATAAACTACTATTTTCCCCTTTGGGATTATGCTTAAGGGCCCCGCATTATGGTATTTGAACCCTGAAGGAAAAATAATATTATAAATTGCACAGTATATATATAATGTATATGAATAGTTACTCGTGCGGCACGCGGAGGTAGGCAGCGATGTACATGAGCAGCACACCGAGGTTGTTGGCGAGCACCAGCGCCGACACCGCCGCTCCACTCACCCGCTCCGGGCACATCTACAACACGACAACACCACTGCTGACGCTCATCGATATCACAGCACAGCGGAAAATCAGTAAAAATAAGTTACAAAATTTATACATATCTGAATGTACATATAATGTTGTAGGTGCGTAAATGTAAATTTTTTGTTGTCCCGGTAACGTTAAGCAAAGTTTTATTGTACCTCTCTCGCGAGGAGCGGCGCGAACGTCCAGGCGGCCGCCCCGCCGAGCCCAGCGCACGCCCGGGCCACCACCACCGGCCACTTGCCGCCGCACAGCTTCAGCGACCAGCACACCTGCATGTCTTTCGTGTTTATCTTCTGGTGCCTTACTCAAATACGACATTAAGAAAGATGTTTACCAATCCTACTTTATGCTATATCTGCAGATTATGGTGAATATGGTGAAAGAACAATGATTGTATTAGCTTATAAGACTTATTGTATTAGCGTATAACAATATTTATAAAAGAATAAATGAATTTTAAATGATTCACACTTCTGAGCTGTCCCTACCACTATAAGACACACATACAGACAGACTAAAATACAAGACGTCGAAAAGATAACGAGACCTATTTTCTAGGAGATCTTCTGCTGATATTTTAAACTGACGAAAATTATGTAGTTGACTATCCGGTTTCAAAATACGGATATCAGATAGGTACAAGTTTAAGGCCTGTAGTTATATCGTTTACTATTGCGTAATTAATACTACTAATACTACACCATAAAGAAAAAATGACGATGAAATACCAGCAAGTATAAAAATTAACAAACGGGTATGCCTGTTTTCATAGACAAGGTTGAGTAACAAAATATTAAATCTCTCAAAGAATTCGTAGTAGTCGTTCTCTTTAAGTAGAAATCAATTTGAAATGAAATAACATTCGTTTTTAAATGATCGTAAGTTGTTGTCATTGGCGAATTGATCATCAAATCGCAAGGTTTTTGTGGACGATTAACTGCTAGTAAAGGTGTAGTCGCAAGGTAGTTTAGTAAAGTCTGTCGAGTTCTGCTAGATTCAACGAGTCCTGTTTTTCGTCTTTAATCTTGTGTCGGCTAGACACCGACTGAAGAGATTAAAACGACTGGGCTTCTCGAATATCCATTATCTGATAAAATTGTATCCCTGTCATCTGTATGTGAAGCGTTGGGCATGGGTTCGATTCCCGCTCAATGCAACTATTCATAAGTATGAATATATCCATTTACATTGAAATAGTTGTTTGTTTCGTTGCCCATTTATTGATACAAACTCACTAAAAATAAGATATTTACTTAAGAGGCTAATATTTCGGCATCAAAGTACAAGATAGACAAGAAGCTCACCACAAACATGGCTGAAGTGGATATAACGGCAGTTTTTCTTCCGGCGGCAATCAGCCGCGCGCTCAGCGGGACGCCCACCAGCGAGGAGGTGAAGGTGACTGCCGCCGCCGCTACAGCTTGCACGTCACCGTTATCAGAGGTGCCCTCTGTGCCACCGTCGACGCTTTCGCCGCTGATCAGAGACACCCACCCCATCGCCAGGCCGAACGATATTGTTGGGATGTTTACTGAAACATGCAGGGCGTTTCAACCAATTGTTATTCAGCTTTTTAAGATTTTATATAGATAACATGTGATCCTAGCCAAGTCACAATTCAGTTTCGATCTACTCTCGATCTCACAACTGGCACAAAATGTATTTTCATAGTAAAGTATTAAAAACAAGGACATAGACATTTATTGCAAAAAACTGTGTAAAATTATATACTCGTAGATGTTTTGTAGTAGGTAAAGTTTGAACAGTTACCCAATCGGGCATTGCAATTGTAAACACTACAAATAAAAATGGAAGATTACAATGATTTTAACAAGTATGCAAATTATTTTGTGAGAAAATACTCTTGCATATTATAAAACACATTCTTGATTAACCATTTTTAGAACGTTCTTGAACTTTTTTTAATGAAATTTCTTTATTTCTAGCGGGAGCTTATTAAATACTCTCTTTGCTGTTATGTATGTGCTTTTGTAACATGTAATGTTACTAATATTGGGTAGGTTTATACTTAGAACCATTTTCCCCTATTACTTAAATATCCAACGTTGACTGTAATGTGATTATATCATATTGTAACTGAAAATTGAATTGTAATCTAGCAGATTAGATCTTAGTAATACCTTACTACTTAACTATGAAAATACCTTTTATGACAGTTGCGAGATCGACTGTTGATCGGAACTGAATTTTGACCGAACTTTTATTATGAGAATTGGCCTTCTGACAACTTTTTGACAGTGCGATCCATACGGTCTCGTCGTGGTAACATTTTACATTAAAATGCAGATACAACGAGACTATACAAAAACATTATTGTTTCTTTTATACATTGGGTAGTCAATAGCAACAATTTGATTCAAATGTATACATTAGAAATGGAATAAAATCACATTCACATGTGATAAATCATATGATTTACAAAACAACTGCTTCATAATTATTATTATTACGCTAGCACCAGACTCGCGAATGGTCTACATAAAAAAAAGCTCTTAATCTTTGATAAAAAGAATTTTGATTGATTTGAATGGCATTTATCTTTGTCTATGATGAAATCACAATCACATGTGAAATCGCTATAACTAAAACCAACCATTTCAACAAATGAATGTGATTTAAAAGCAGCAATAATTTCCATGTTTAGTATACATACCTATTTATACTCCTTGATAAACCAAAGTCAGTGGTGTCAATTATATATATATAACTTATGAAATATTTCAACTGATGAATGATTTGTTTAATGTCCATATCGTTTAGATAACACTCACCCAAATGTGATAATACGCATTATATCAGATTTGTACGACTGTTATCGTTCAAGGGCCCGCTGAGATCCACTGAGTCTGTGTCCGCGCCGACATACGTCGCCAGATGACGTTACGTATAGTATTTGATTGATGCTATTTTGTGATATACACACAACAATAGAAAATAAATAAAAGTAGTTTCCAAAATTCTGTGTTCTAAAACATGTTGAGGTTTAACAAATTATATATACACTTTGTACAATTTTCATACCGGCATGTACCGCAATAGATATGATATCAGTGCATCGCAAACCATCATTGCAATGGTATCACACCATGGCCGGTTTGGAAGTTTGTGATCTATCTTCATCATCATCATCTTTCTATCATTTTGACAATTTTGTTTGGGATGCGCGCCATGTCTAACATTGTAAAATGTTTTGGTTATTTTTTTGTAAAGTCGGTCCCTAGAAGCTGAAAGAAACCAGGGTGCAGTACCCACATGTCCACAGTGTGTTGTGACTGGTAAGGCCACAAAAATTTGGATATTAAAGTTAAATTTAAAAAAGAAAAGGTGCAATACTCGGCGAGTTGGACAGCACGTTGTGAACGGCTCGTGGAAAGTTAAATTAATCGTTTCCCATTATAAAAGTCAATAGCTGTTACGTTAGCGGGCCTTGCATAAATGGAAAGATATTGAATGTTGCAGGCTTGTTATCAAAATATCCCACAGCCGCCACACACTTAAATGAAATCGTATTGCGTTGAGTAATACTATGTATATGTAAAAACGTCCTTAGAATATTGACTTGACCTGATAGATATTATCCAATCCCATACTGGATATTATAATGACGTGGTTATTGGTGGTAGACGTTCGAATTATAAAAAATCGCTGTTTATTTTTGTAATTTCTCCGGATAATTGTTTTATATTTTTCAAACATAACTAAGTTTTTAGGCTATTAAGGGCAATTTCAAAACACATCAATTGTGTTTAGCCATTCTCAAGGTAATCACTGACCATTACTTACCAAGAAACAGTTCATATTTTAATTTATACAAATTTAATACGAACAGGATTAACAAGGACAATAAACAAGTTAATATATTGTGGTAGTCGAGTCCAGGAAGGATCATTAACACAATCGCGATACCACATTAGTGTTGTATATTTTATTTCATAAATTTAGGTGCGAATATGTTATTAAAACTCCACGGCGTTAGATGTTAAATATGTTTGTTGGTTGCCAACCGCAGATGGACATTACATGATTTTATACACACTGTTTTATTTTTAAAGTGTTATTGTGATAAGGCACTTTGATTTGAATTTGAGTACTTTAGTAGTCAATTAAATGGAAACACATTTCCGAAGCAGGTACCCTTTGGCGTCACATTTAATAATTATAGCAAATTGTATAGGAACGCTAATAACAGAAAATTAAACTCCTAATCTATTTAGATATATTGCATATATATTTACTTGTGTTTATATAACATATGTGTACATGTTAGCGCATGCCACATATCCTGAAATATGCGAAGTATACAAGTGCGACGCATGTGCAATGCACTCAGCAGCATACTCCTTTGTACGTCATAATGGTTGGTTCACTTTTTTCTAAACCTTTCGTTTTTTTATGGTATAAGGGGGCATATGAGCAGACGGGTCACCTGATGGTAAGCAACTACCGCCGCCCATGGACACCTGCAACTAAAGAGTCACAAGTGCGTTACTGGAGTCTGGTGACCTCACTCACTCAGTGAAAGGCAACGGAAGAATTGCTTATCACCGGTTTTATGTAAGGCCGTGGTATCACTCCGGTCGAGCCCATTCGTGCCGCAGCATGGCTCTCCCCCTTTTTGTTTTTTTTTTCGTGCGGAAATCCCCTCGGATACCACCTATGTGGTGGTGGCATGTCGGACTCGAACCGACTAAAACCGCACGCCGTCTCGGGTACTGGCATGGCTCTCTCCCGCTTAAAGCTTGTCGTGCTATGATGTAACAATGCACGCACAAAGCATGTAACAATATAACTGTGCGTATTACAAAATGTACTTTTAAATAATCAAATCGACAAAAGAGATCCCTAAACAGATTACTTATAAACATTAAAGCTCATGTTAACAAATTGACTTTCCGCAGTAATTGATCGACTGATTTTATCAGCTATCTGGTTGGGTTATGTTATAACAGCTATGACAAATTACGATTGGGTGAACCAAAGCTGTTTTAAAATAATTGCTACAAACGAACTTAAACGACTTTTTACACATCTATCAAATTTTCAAATTGTTCACAAAAGTTAATCTGAATACATATCGCATGACCGGCACAGCTAATAACATACAAAACTGAACAATTTGCTAAGAACTTAATAGCAAGTAATGATAATGAACAATTTCAGATCCTTTTTTATTTTATTCAGTTGTTAAAATAAGTAGGATTTTAAATGCTTATGCTCCTCCCCGTGCTCTACGCAGCTGGCCTCTACTTTGGCTGGAGGAAAGGCGTCAAGCCGCCACCTATTACTACCTCATACACAAAAATCATTTTTTACCAAAATGACATTAAAATAAAATGCACGTTAGTGACGCATACTATAAATGAAAATACTAATATCGTATTATTACAATCAAAGTACATCGTGGCTTTTAAAATGTATTATCAGAACACAAAACACCTATAGATAAACATCTAAGTAGGAACTCTTACGTACACATTTGCCATTTACGAAATCATTTCCTCTTTCTTTACAATTAAATATATTGAATGACTTTAACGATAACAGATAACGTACAAGAGAAACCTTTCTAGTTCATTTAAACCACATTAACAATTGTGCTACCTTTGACACTTCTTTTATCACTAAGTACCTACATACTAGACTGAATATAATGATCGATACACTGCAATGGCCTACAGTGGACGTACTTTTTACAAAAACTAGTCGCCCGTCCCTGCTTCATACGAATGCATTACTAAACAAAATGAAACTCTTTCAAGTTTTTACTACTCTTGTCTCAAATAACCATAACATTTTTTATGAAATTAACAGATGAAATATTTTAAGGAACATAACTGAATCTGTCAATATGTTCGAAGATCTTTGTACTGTTTTTTTTATCACTTATTCGCTTAATTTTTAGTAAGAATATTTCTAATGCAAATTTGAGTACAACCCTCCACCTTCCCTTGGCCCTACCAACCATCTAGGTTATAACGCGTGCCACATTTGACTCCTCGCTACATATTATTTATCCGTCCCTATAAATTTGAACACTCTCCCCTTTCTGAAGCTTGACGATACATAACAGCAGCTTCGTATCCGATCTTCTACATCTGTTATCCGCTGACATCGCTCCGATTTGCTCCTTAGCTCGTGCCACCAATACGCGAAGTCCCGTAGTGGCCTGAAGTTGACCTCCGAGGAGACCGAGTCGCTGTAGTCTGTTGTACATCGGTCCGTCTTCAAGTCAGTCCCATAATAAATTACAGTAATAGGATATGATTATTTTGGTTCCGCACCTTGATAAGTTTTTACTGTAAACAGATCGGTTGTTATGATGCGGTGCATGCGGTGTGGTGCTTGATTATTGATGTTTATCGAATGTTAAGCACTGCGATATATCTTTTAAGTTAAAGTATTTCACCAAATTCTCTTTTCATTATTACTCTACGAGTATATTTCCATGCCCGAATATTATATGTACCATATTTCTCTCTCATATCTTGCGATAGGGTATCATGCGAGCTGTTACGTATTGTTTGCACTTTATAAATAGATAAATTGTCCGTTAACCCAGTTTTAGAGACCTGCAATTAGGCAGATGTACAGCCTGTTTATTGACGTCCACTACTGATAGCCGTTCAACCCGTTTAACCGTGGTAATAATAAGCCTTTCTAAATTTGACCAAATATTATATTTCATCGGATCAAGCAGATTTTTAATGTATTTTTACTATTTTTTAAATATGAGGTAATTCCACGGGTCCTATAACGCCGCCAGGATGCTGTTAGCAGTGCCCCTCGCTCGACTCAATAAGGACGCATACGCTTACTTATTTTGTTTGGGAAGTTGTCGATGCGCTCCTCAGCAAACATCCCGGCGGCACTGCAGTGTCTCGTCAGCCCCATCGGCATCATTAATGTGTTATTATATTAGACTAGCGGGTCACCATAAACTCAATCACAGGCTGCACGTGTAGAGGACGGGTATATACGTATACGGGTAGTATACTTTAAAAGGCGTCACCTATACTTGTTTATTACAAAGTGCAAATCTGCGGGCGATCGTTATATACCGGCCAGCCCCTAGGCCAACTACCGGCGCTCCCTCTCCATGTCAAAGTTGTCTTTTAAGACTTCTGAGACTCAACCCCAAGTACTTAAACTTATCGACGTAACATGTACGTCAGTAGCTAAAAAATAATAAAACGTTTTGCCTTTACATCATAAATATCATTTAGCAGCATTCCATGTTACAAAAGTGACTTTGCGAACGCCCATCCGCATGGTGTAGCAAAACAGTACCACTCGTATCGAAGTCTGCACAAGGCGCTCACATGAACACAACAGTGCCACACTGCTCAACTCCGCGATTAAAGACGCATATTTGAAAAATACCAATATCTATCTAACATCGATCGTGTTTAAAAGTCCATCAAGTACAACACGATGGACTTTCATCATTTCATTAGTAGGTACTATTAACATGCAAGTCACAGCCCAATATCACATGCTTTAATTCAATTCTAATTTATAGAACTTATTACATTAGAAGGTGTGGTACCAGATAATAACATGTCAAAAATTATATTATTGTGTCCTAATCATACACAGATAATAGAGCCTACACAGGATTCATAATCCAAAAATGTTACATGTCATAATATACTAAGTTATATTGAGCTCTTTCAGTTAATTCTAATAATTCGCAACCAGGAAAAAAAGCGAATGAGGAAAGAAAAACAGGATTTCATTGTTTTGTTTGGATTATCATAAGTTGAAGTGTTACTTACTGAGCATTACCATCAGAGATTGGCGCGCGCAGGCGCGCACGCGGCTCTGGACCGCGCTCGCGCCGCGCGCCGCCACTGCCGGCTTCGGCTTCACGCTCATCTTACTCACACCTAATTAATTACACTTGTTAAACTCTTGATTATAAAAGTCTGAAAGAAGTAAGAATTGAGAGAAATTGTCGATAGGAACACTAATTCTGTGAAGGCACGTCGCTCGCCGGCTCCACTCATCGAGCTAAGCAACAACACAAAAATAATAAATAACGCGATACGAGTGACGTAGTACTAGTACAGCGATTTTCCGTCACCCGGTGTCGGAACGGCGGCGCGCTCTGCTGTACTGCGACTCGGCGGTGGCGACACCCTCTTTATTAAACCTTCTGGTCGGAAATCGCTCGATGCTCCAAGCAAAGCTGTTCCGAAATTGGACCGACGGTACTACTGACGATCACCTGGACATGTCATACGCCGCTTAGCCGATCCAGGAGTAGATGATCTAAAAACACTGGTATGGTGATACAACGGACACGCGTGCGAGGTACCGGCGCAGGACCATGCGAGTCAGTGCGGGTCCGTGTGGATCCGTGCGGGTCTGTGCGTATTAAACAGTTATAGACAAACGCTCAAATCATCGAGAGTTCAGCTACTGTGCGTCCATATGTACCCTTGATTAGAGAACTTGTTGCAGTTGTGTGTGGTCGTCGAGAGCATCGCAACACACGATACATCGCCACACGGAATGTTATAAAATACACCGTAATCAGTGATAAACTCTTTATCGACAACATAGCGAGAATTATTTAAAATAGATTCGACAACAATTACTAAAGTTACTATGTTTTTTAATTATTAAAAATGTTAAAAAAAAACTACTTTAGACAAAGAGCACTTAATATTGTAATCATGGTCAACAGCCTAAAACACTCCACTGCTGGACATAGGCCTCTCCTTAAAAAGAAGTTTTTGGCCTACTATACAACGCTAGTCAGACGGGTTGGGTTTAGGTTTGGGTATAGGGTATGTTTCAAGTTTTCCTTCTTTTAGTAGTTTGCTCCCATAGTCGGCTCTTACGACACCCATGGGATGTGTGGTGACACTCCGTATTCTCAATGCGTCACCACACGGATAGTGTATTGTAATATTAATTGCAAACTTCATTGCAAAGACTATAATAAATAAGACACTCAATATCGAACATGAATGCATAATACTGTAAGTAGAACCTCCTCTTTTTTCTAAAGTTGGTAAATAACAATAGCATTAATAACTGTACCCATATTTACTTGCTGACAATGGAACCACCACAGGAGAATACTTTTTCACAGATGACGGAAATATCTCCTCGTTTGTTGAAATCGCTCAAAGAAAATTCCTCCCGCACCGTCTACGGGTGATGTTGTGGTAACTTAACAAACACGTAATGTGTCTTTTGTAATGGTGAATTACCCAAATATTTTGAAAGCACGCATTGTAAGATTGCGTTATCATCAGGGTGTACCAAAAACCTTTGGTGGAACATGTCCAAGAAATGCCTTCCATATAAAACGTATTCAAAGCTGCCCAAATCGATTACTTATAACCGACTACTAATTGTAAAAAGCGCCGTATGTTTCACCGCAACATTTACTGTCTTCTCTTGCCTTAAGGATACAAATGGAATTCTTTACGTGATTGCACACTATTTCTAGTTGAGCTTTGCAATGGCTGTCGTGTAACACCTACAAATATAATTGTTTGAGAAGGGCTCAAAGAATACTTGAACTTTGTGGCCTTTGAATGAATGATCTACTTTTCTTTCTCGAAGGTTTGAAGCTCGTCATTTATTAGAAGGTTGGATCTGCGAGGAGAAAAGTTTCTTGAAAGCGCACAGTGGAGGTGCGCACCATATCTTTATGAGTGTATTTATATTAACAGTCATAGATCACCCAAAATGATCTCGAAAGTAAAAAAGCATGTCAATTATTTAGTTTTGTGTAATATTTATTAGTTAAGACTCAAAACTGATGTTTTCCATGTGGTGACGGATTAAGACTGCAGAGTGTCACCACCCCTATTCATCCCGTGGGTGTCGTAAGAGCCGACGTAGGAAACAAACTACGCAGGACAACAGTACTATAAAGAGAAGGAAAACTTGTAACACACTAACCCGTCTGGCAGGACAATAAATCTCCTTTGTAAGGAGAGGCCTACGTCCAGCAGTGGACTGTTAAGGGCTGTTGATGATGATTAATGACAGGACCACATAATCACATCATCATCATCATCATCATCAACAGCCTATACTAGTCATAATCACATGAGAGTACCTAATGTAGGTATTGTTTATAATTCTAATCAGTTGCATATTTACCTACCTTTAGGGCCAGCGGAAAGGTACCCGGGGCGGCAGGTCGCTGAGGCCGGCACTACTTTTACTCAGTTTCCTACTACAAGATTTTTACATAGAAAGATTTTGTAGATTTTATAAAAGGGGTTCATTCAACTTTAATATGTTATTATTATTTTTATATTGTCACCCAAGTACAACTAACCGAGCAACCAGAATAAACTTTCAACATGAATTTCACTTTTCTTAAATTACAAATCATTATCATAATCATTTAAGGAATATATTTTTCTCGCGTATCTTGTATGTTTGTTTGTAAATTTCATTATTACCTCGTATCTTCCAAATGGCTGGATGGATTTCGACAGTTATGGTATTGTTTAATCCGTCTCAAAACCCCAAGCGTTAAGGTTATTAAAAAAAATAACCAAACAAACCGAGTAGAGTATCAAAATTAAGAAAATTACAAGGAGATAACAAATATATAATTAATTTATATATTTCAATTAATAAGGAATTAGTTTTATTGTAATTATTATCTTATTGCAGTCGGGTTTTTATTTTTTTTGTATACGTATACATATTGTATACATTGAAAGCAACACTAAAGCTTAAATGGTAATTTTGGCTTGGTATAAAAGGTAGCTTCTGAACAAATATAGAAAACGAGTAAATACATTTACATAGAAAATGATGTAAGGTATTCACGAACATGACGCACGTTTCAGTCATCATCCAAGGTGACATTGAAGGTAGCCGCAGAAGTCAGCACACATGTCTCCATCGGCAGGACTTTAAGGCGAGCCTAACTTTCAGAACCACCAGTCGACATAGTAATAAACAAAACTTTTAACAAAAAAAAACCGATTTCAAAAAACATTATTCCAAAACAAATTAATATGCATTAAAAAGTAAAAAAATAAATGCATATTCTTCTACAACTTAATAATCAACTTACTTTTTCTACTCATCAATATGTAGGTACGATCTATGTGTTTACCACGCAAGAAGGTGGGTAGGTACCTACCCACTTCAAATCTAACTCAATATATAGGTACCAACATTGATATAATACTTATTTAACTCAATGGGTACCAACCTATGAATAACAAACAACGATCAAAATATTTTTTTGAGTTCTAAGTAAAATGAAATGAAAAATATTAGACTACTTAAGAATCAATCAAATGATTACGATAATATAATGTAGTTACAATTATTGTTATTTTTGGAGTCGGCGTCAAAGTATTAAAGTCCGTTTGTTTGGTTTAATTGGGTTCTGGTATTTTTTGCATTTCAAGGTCGCTGATATTGTCGTATAAAAGTTAATTTGCAAATGGGTTTAATTAGGTATTGGTATTCTGTCACAGTACTAACAGTATATTGTCGATCGTATTAAAGTTGATTTTTTTTAAATATTTCTATGATAAATGATATTTATTTCTGTAAGTAAATCTTTTCAGATATTTTAAAAGTCGGACTTTACAGCTAAAAAGAGCCGGCATTTCCTAAGACACACAAACTACAGAGGTGTCTTTTTTTAAGTCCGTAAACAAAGTTAAATAAAACTGTGCGAGTACAGTATAGGGTCTAGGTGGACCTTTTGAAGAAAGGTTTTCTTAAAGTATTCTCGTATTATTATTGCAAGGTATACCGTAGTGTTTCCTTGGCTGACACCGACTCCAAAAATAACAATAATTGTAACTACATTTACTATCGTAATAATTTGATTGATTTTTAAGTAGTCTAATGTTTTCATTTCAATTGACTTAGAACTCAAATAACAAACATAAAAAAAGTACAGTCGAATAGAGAACCTCCTCCTTTTTTTGAAGTCGGTTAAAAACAGTAACAACTGATCGTTGTTAGTGCTTTTTGTCGAAGTTGAAATGTAAATAATTGATTTCTAATTAATATGTTCCTTTATGAAATAAGCTATTTATATCACTAAATATTTACTGAATTACAGATTCGGCTTCTAATATTCCAGAAGGTAACCTTATATATTAAGCGGAAGGCCAGCAGTCAAGAATTACAAAAAAAGGTAAAAAGAAGAAGGACATAATTAATAAAGCAGCTAAACATTGATCAGAGCAAAATAGATAAATTCGCGCTCGCTTTTAATATATGTGATCGTCAGTGGTGTGGATATTGGTATCGAACTCTTTGTTGTGCTCCATTGATATTCTCGCTGGTAACCACAACCAGTACCACACCGCGAGGCCTCGCACTGGCTTATATTTTAGTACTACTAACTGCCTCATAAGGAAGCAATTTCAGTTAGACGCTCGTATTGTCGAGGTGAGTCTGTGTACTTTAGTATGTTCTTGCGAATTATACCTTACTCACGTACATATGTATTTAAGTATTATATACATATTATGACACGACTGGTTTGTTGTGAAAAGAAACGAAAACATTACTTAGCACTGGTTTTCTGTGAGGCCGCCGTATCACTGGTCGAGACGCCCACCGTGTACCGCAGCATGCCTCCCTCACAGCGACAGTCACTCCTTTATAAGAGTAAGCGTTAAGATATTAAAACGCTATGGCGAGATAAGATGATAGATATATAAAGACATGATTATTCACGTCGTCCAGACTTTGTTCGCGGTTCATAGTGGTATGACATCCATAAGTACAGCGCGTGCCTCGCATCACCGAGTGCGAACCTAGCAGCCAGTTCGCCTTGTCTCAGTGACGGCGGATATCGCATCGCGCATACTAACTCATAATGGATGTTGCACCCACTCTATTGTTTGCTTTGTGATCAA